GCCACCAGGAACCTGCTCCAGCCCGGGTCCCCTCTCCACGGCTCCCCTCGGAGGTGCCCGGGGGCCGTGCCACGGCAGCCACCTCCATTCCCTTGGCCAGCAGGTGAAGCGCAGCCAGCCTGGCACAGAGAGCTGGGGGACATCCCACCGAAATCGGAATTACGGGACGCACAGGACGCTGGGGAACATCCCACCGAAATCGCGATTACAGGACACTGGGGACATCCCACGCCAGCAGGAGCACAGGAGCCGGAGCACAGGAATCACCACCCCGCCGCAGGGATGCCCGGCAGGACTGCAGTGTTGGCTCGATGTGTTGGGGCGCTCAACACGGGGCACTGCCGGGGGCGCGGGTTCGAAACCTGCGGCTCCGAGGAAGAGGACGTGGTGTGGTGGCAGTTTCTGCATCGGGCAACCCTGGCCCCGTGTCCGACTCGCGGGGACAGCGTGACCCGGCTTGGTGTAGTGAAGCTGGAAGCACCAGGAAGAGTCCCTGAGGACGTGCCAAACAAAGCAGCCTGACCTACGCAACCGGGAGTCAGCCAGCTCCCGCGGCCGCCTGTACTCTGCGATACTGGGAGAAACAGCAAAATCTCCCTTTTCGTTAAAATTCATTGTTTTATTATCTTTCACTAAGCTGCTGGTTTGTTCTCTCCCCTCCCTGTGCTTTCCTTTCCGCTTGTCCCTTTTTCTCCACCGTGGACTCACAGCTACCAGAATCAAACCATATGTTTTTTGTTCTCAACCTCATCCATCCACTGCTCTAACCTGTGTTCTTTCCACTTTTATTTCCCTACTATATTAATTGGCAAGAGCCACAAGAGCTTTCCTTCCTTCCGCCACTTCCTTCTTTCCTTCCTTCCTTCCTTCCTTCCGCCACTTCCTTCTTTCCTTCCTTCCTTCCTTCCTTCCGCCACTTCCTTCTTTCCTTCCTTCCTTCCTTCCTTCCGCCACTTCCTTCTTTCCTTCCTTCCTTCCTTCCTTCCGCCACTTCCTTCTTTCCTTCCTTCCTTCCTTCCTTCCGCCACTTCCTTCTTTCCTTCCTTCCTTCCTTCCTTCCGCCACTTCCTTCTTTCCTTCCTTCCTTCCTTCCTTCCGCCACTTCCTTCTTTCCTTCCTTCCTTCCTTCCTTCCGCCACTTCCTTCTTTCCTTCCTTCCTTCCTTCCTTCCGCCACTTCCTTCTTTCCTTCCTTCCTTCCTTCCTTCCGCCACTTCCTTCTTTCCTTCCTTCCTTCCTTCCTTCCGCCACTTCCTTCTTTCCTTCCTTCCTTCCTTCCTTCCGCCACTTCCTTCTTTCCTTCCTTCCTTCCTTCCTTCCGCCACTTCCTTCTTTCCTTCCTTCCTTCCTTCCTTCCGCCACTTCCTTCTTTCCTTCCTTCCTTCCTTCCTTCCGCCACTTCCTTCCTTCCCCTCCCCACCTTTATTTCTCTATATAACAAATAAACCTACAGAAATAACAGGCAGTTATTAATAATAATTAATAATTACTATCAATAATAATAGCAGGAATTCCATTCCATGCTCTATCTTCACAGGGCAGGGCATAAGAAGACAGGAAAACATACCCTAGAAGCGACCCAAACCAGTGTTTTCAAGTGGCAAAATGATCCTCTGTCCACAAAAAAAACGTTGCTGGGGGTTTGTCCTGGCAAATAATTGCATGAGCGTTTCACAGTGGGCAGTTCATTTTTGCTCTCAGCTTGACTCTTTAGGAGGATTTATCCTGAAATATTTTCCAGAAAACTCCTCAAACTCTGCCCAGACCAGCTTAAGTGAACAGCAAGTTGCAAGTAGCTGAGGTAGAGTTTTATTAAAAATTCTATCTAAAAATATTTTGCCCTTTTACAAGTTCTAACTTTCTTTTTCCCATCTGCCTCCTCCACGCTTCTCGCTGGACTTTTCCCACATGTTGTATCCCAGCAGTGAGGTCCACAGTGGCCTTTGCATTTCCCGAGGCTGTAGCACATCTATACACGAACTAGTTCTTGCAGAGGCACCAGGGCTGTCAGTGCTGCACTAAAATGCCTCCTGTGGCTCTGCTGAACAACTGCCCCCTCTTGCTGTTGGTGCATTTCCACTTTTCCCTGCCCTCCCCAGAGCAGTTCTGCTTGCAATGTTCTTTTTCTTTCCTGTGGGCTGCACCAGTCTAGTGTCTGTAATGCTTATCCTGCTGGAAAGCCTGGAAGCTACTACTATTTCCTCATCTATTTTAGGAGTCAGGGTTTTGTCCCTGCCTGCCTGTCCTCACCTTCATTTGTAATCTCCTTTTTTTTTTTTTCTGTGTGTCCTGGTTTTTTTCTTTAACACAGTTTTATATCTCTACTTTTTTTTTTCTTTTTTTTTTTTTTTCCCTTCACACAGAGTTGTGTTCTTGATCTTTTTTGTCTGCAGGGACCAGGGGATCACCTACAAAGTTAATGGAAGAGTTAATGAGGGAATGTAGGAATGCAGTTGGCTGCTATTTTTAGCATGCTTCAACTTATGTAATGATTTTTTTTTTTCCCTGTGTGGTATCAAAATAGATACCAAAATACCAAATAGAACTTGGTTTCTGATAAACCTGTTTTATGTCTCAGTGTTTTACAAGAAGCCCCTGTAGATACTGATACTGCAGCCACCATGATAAAAATAAATACTGGGGATCTGGTCGTGTACACTTGCTCAGGAAAAACTCTCGTGGAAGGCAGCACCTTGGTACCACAAACTTCTTATGGACAGAGCTGAAACTTGGTTTGTGCAGCAGATTTCAGGACTGTACATTTCAGTTCTGCTGCAGCTTTTATGTTGCGTTCCTTGCTTCTCTCTCAGCCTTTAGGAAGTTAAAAGAGGATAGCAACCATCATGCTGGGTGTGTATCACACATTCACTAGGGTATGGTTCCTCTCTCTCTAGTTCCACCTCACAGTTAAAATAATGATGTTTTTAAGTTTTGTTGGGTTTTTTTTTTACCTTGTAAATGCCTTAGACACACACACATCAGTGTTTCATAGCCCTTTTCAGCTCCTGTATGGAGATAATGGAGATAATGCAGCTTTTACAATGTTCTAAGGGAAATTTTAAGAGACAAACTTGAATAAATTGTGAGTTCTACAGACACATGCTCCAAATTGAGTTAACTGAAACCCTGGGATCCTCACTGGAAGAATGCATCATGAATTATCTTTATTCTTAATATTAGGTGATAATTGTCTTTAAAATGTTTACTCAAACACAGTTTAAGCCTTCAGTGAGAACTTCTGGATGGGCCCATCCATGTTTGAGTGGTATTCCATAGCAGGTAGATACTTCTTCCCCAATAAATGAGTTACAAGTAAATAACTTTCTGCAACATCTAAGGACTGAATCCAAGGCCGAGCTTAGAGTCTCCACGCTATTCCTTGCCAGTGGGTTGCAGTGGATGGTAAATTTTGCATGTTTCCAAGGGGGAATCTTCCCTCATGGAAGAGATTCCCACTAAGGGTTACTACCACATTCTGGAGAGACAATCACATCAGGAATTCTTTGAGCCAAGAACAGCTGGAGAGCACCAGGGAGACATTTGATAGAAGCCAACCCTGCACTGAAGCGCTTCTTTGCACATCCATCTCGCAGCCACTGTCAGGAGGGAGGATTCTGCAGGGCAGGGACCCCATCTGACCTGGCCCAGATGTTCTGGGCAGCAGTTCCCTCCCTGCAGCACCGTGCTGCAGCTTGGCAGGGATAAAATACTTACCTGCCTCCCAAGGGCTTTGTGAGGCTTATCCCATGTCTCTACAATGCCACACGAGTTCCAGCCTCTCCGGGAAGCTCCCTGATTAGAAGATTCCTCTCAGATTATGAACTCCTGTATGCCATGTTTGGTAGCTGCTTTGAAACCAGTGCTCAGACCCCTGCTGTATTTCATCCCCACCTTCTGCTGCTACCAGAGGAATTGAGAGGGAGCCTCAGCACACACCTAAAACAGTCCCAGCAGGAATGGGAACACTCAGATGGTTGGTGGTTTCTTGGCAAACTGGTTGGGCAGAGCTTTGTGTCCCCAGGTAGCACAGCCAATGAATCCAACCTGGAGCCGAGTCACGGGTCCAGGTTCAAGCCAGCACTGCCAACTCAGCCCTAATGCCATGTGAACACCACCCACTGCCCCTCACCTGCGGGACCTCAGTGTCTGAAGGGAGGTGTCAGAGGATGAACCGTGCCCTGATCTGTGGTGCCCGGAAACGGGACAAGAGGAATGGGCAGAAATGATGCCCAGGAAGTTCCACCTGAACATGAGGAATAACTTCTTTCCTCAGCAGTGACTGAGAACTGGTACAGATTGTCCAGAGACGGTGTGGAGTGTCCCTCACTGGAGATATTCCAGACCTGTCTGGACACAATCCTGTGCTGTGTTCTCTGGGGTGACCCTGCTGCAGCAGGGAGGTTGGACTTGGTGACCCCCTGCAGTCCCTCCAGCCTGACCCATCCTGTGATTTAGTGATGGTGTGACCTCTCTGAAATGCAGGTCATTGGTGTGAGGAGTGAATGCATGGAGAATGTAACTCAGCGACAACTTTCCTTCCTCTCCGTTCCTGAACTACAATGGCTTTCTCATAAATCAGTGGGCAGGAGCCCCAGGGCCAGAAGAGCTGTCTCGTCCTCATGAAGACGAGATGGCACAAGGTGATATTGGGTGGTACTTCTGCTCCCCGTTTCCTCAGGGAATACCTCCGGGAGCCCATCAGGAAGCCTGTCCCCGCATGGGGACAATGCTGGCTGCCCTCCTCACTGTGTCCCGGCGAGCGACCTTCGGTGCCCCAGTCCGCGGGACAAGCGTGTTGGGGCAGAGCGACAGCCACGGCCACCAGCGGCTTGGGGACACGCTGCCCACCTTTGCCGGTGCCGAGGGGCGTCCCGACCCCTCGGCTCTCCCCATCCCCGGTGGGGGCGGGCCGGGGCGGGGGCGGCCCCAGCTCCATCCCTGCCCGCCCGCCTCCCGCAGCAGTCGGGGAGGAGAGGCGGCACCGGAGGGCTCCTCCGCCAGCAGCCGGGCGGGCAGCGGTGCACATGGCATGTCTGATGGCGGCTTTCTCCCTGGGCAGCGCTTTGGTAAGGCGGGCCCTGCCTTCCCTCTGCGGGGCCGCGGCGAGCGCCGGGCGGGGGGCGAGGTGCGGGGCTGGGGCACGGAGATGGAGCGAGGGCTCCGCGGGGAGCTCCGAGACGCTTCCCGAGGGAAAAGCGGGGTCGGAGGGTGAGCCCGGGGCTGCGGGGTGCCGGATGTGGGCTGAGGGATGCGGGATGCGGGATGCAGGGTGAGGGATGCGGGATGAAGGATGCGGGATGAAGGATGCGAGTGTGCGAGCGGCCGGCGGCGCTCGGCGGGACTTGACCGCTGGTTACCTCTGTCTGTAGCTAAGGCGGGGGGATTATCGCCGAGCATGCTCCCTGCGCCGCTGCGCCCCGCCGGCTTCCCGGCGGATTTGCGGAGGGACCGTAACCTTTGCATAACAGCCGGGGCCGGAGGGGCACGGAGCGGGCAGAGCCCCGGGACCCTCCTGCCGCTGCCACCGGGCGGGCGCTGCCGTCCCCGCCGGGCTCCGGGAGCGGCCCGGCTCCTCACCGGCTCCATCAAACTCCATGGGAAATAGCCCAAAGTGGCCAAAAGCAGCCGGGAGGTGAGCGCGGGGCTGCGGAGCGGGCGCGGGTCGGGATGCGGGGCTGGGGCAGCAGCGGGGGCACAGCGGAGCGGGGAGCGAGCTGCAGGTGCTGGAGCAGAGGGGTTCAGCTGTGTCTGTGCCTTCCACACGGCTTGGCCGAGTCTGTGGCTGTCGTAGCCGCGGGATTGACCAGGTTTTTCCGAGCGAAGGTGATCCCAAGACGGGGAGGAGGTTGGACCATCCTCACCCATAGCAGCTGGTCTCTGGAGGAGGCAGGTGTGTGAACAGGCAGTTCGGTCCACAAAGTGGCTGGAATTGTTTAATGTCCCACGAACAAAAGTCTTTGGCTTCGTGCTCTAGGGTGATCAAGTAGTCAGAGGCAAGGCTCTTGTCCAAAGGATATTTCCTTTTGGATCGATCTAAACTGGAGAAGCTCTGGCTGTTACCTGAATAATCAAGGTGACCTGCTCATTGAGAGTTAGCCTTTGGGCATTCCCTCTGATTGTGTTAAGGTGCTCAGTGGTTCCTCAGAACAAAACAGATTCTGAGTGCCAAAGTCAGCCTTGAAAACATTTAGGGAACAATATTGTTAACTCACCTTCTCTTAGTTTTTAGGGAAGTTCCCCTGCTTTAATTGTTGAGCTCTAAGATGTTTCACATTACTCTTGTTATGTTCAAATTACATACTGTGGCAGTCAGCTCTTTAAGAATTTGACAGTAAGTGTTACTGGATACCTGACCTCTAAGTAAGTTGAGAGCACGATTAAAATCTCTTTCTTGAGAAAATGTGGTGAGCAGAGCTGATTGTTTTCAGCTAGAACTTGGGGCTCCCAAGTTGTGCTTGAAGAATGTGAAGATGCCAGCTATGGAGTGGTTATGCAGGAATACTTTTTTTCGTCAATGATTATGTTGGACTGGAGGTTTTTTGATGTTTTTGTCAGCATTCATGACAAGTGAGTGATCTGAGCTGGGCTGCTGTTACAGCAAAGATGAGAAGACCAGGAACCATGAGAGGGAAATGGAAGTGGCACAGGGAAGAGGAGGCAGTGTCACTTCTTAGCTGAATTAGAGAAATAGAGGGGAGAAGTGGCAGGACCTTCAGCTCTGTGTTCATGCATTGAGAAGTAGTGCAGCACACCTCCAAGAGATAACTTTGTAGATTGTTGGGCAGATGTCAGCATGGAAAGCCTGGCACATAAGCCATCTACAGAAGTCCTTTCCAATACAAATCTGCATTAAAAATACTAAATTTCCTAATAGACAACTGTGCAGGTGTTTGGCTCTGCTTATGACATCCACCAAGCAACAGATGACAGCTTCAGCTGAAATTCTGTTTAACTGAAGAAATTTCATGACTGTTTTTCCTTTTGAGCTTACACACATCCTGCTCATATTGGTGCAAGACACCTGTGCTGGTAAAAGGAATGGAAAAAAAAAAAATCCAGATTTTGTATACATAATTAAAAAAAAAAATAAAAAAAGAAGAGAAAGGTGGGTGGAAGGCCATTGTCATGGTCAGGAGAGGAGGGGAAGGAGACCTTACAGAGTCAGTGGTGCAAGAACTGGAGCAGGGTTTGTGTGTTTATGTACCTGGTAAGATTTCCATTAGTTATCACTATGAAGCATGGAAAGCACTCGAGGTTTTTGGGTGCAAAGCATTGTGCTTTCCTAAAAGACCTCCAGAAAAGAACTTGTACTGTCATCCCAGGTTGCAAAGTCCCCAGAACTATCAGTGCAGGAGAAAATAAGGCATGAAATAGTGCATTTGAAATTCTCAGAAATATAATTTCACCTTTACAGAAGCATAGGCTGACCCAGAGGAACAGGAGCTCTTAGACATTTTGAGCAGCTGTCTTTTGAAATGTCTGTAAAAATAACTGTTCAGCCAGCTCCCTTCCCCCTTCAGCTCTGTCCCAAGCCCTGGAATCAGAGTAACTAGAACCAAATTCCTTGAGTGCATGAGAAACCAAATACAATGGGAACTGAACTTATAAATGTATTAATCTGGTGCAAGATCTGAAAGGAAAACTAGTGCTAAAGGAACTGTATGTGCTGCAAGAGCTCTTTTACCTCTTCTGTCAAGGCTCAGGCAAAAGAACAAACAAAAGATTGCTTTATTTTACTCCTCTTTCACCTTTCAGTGCATTACAGCGCCAGATTCTTGTGCTATTTAAAGAATAACTCCTGTGATGGAGAAAGGTTTGATAGGTGTTCCTAAAGTCTGTGAACTTTCTCCCCTTTCCCTGCAGGGTGGCAGCAGCTCTGGTTGCACCATGGCCGAGCCAAAGTCTGTGTGTGTTTCGGTGGACGAGGTGGTCTCCAATGGCACAGACCCCCAGGACATTCGACTCATGAATGGACACTTAAAAAAAGTGGACAATGCCCTGACAGAAGCTCACAGGTTCTCCTACCTGCCCCGCAGGCCAGCTGTGAACATTGAGTTCAAAGAACTGTCCTACTCCATCCAGGAAGGGCCATGGTGGAGAAAGAAAGGTGAGGAAAACAAAGATTCACCCACAAGAAGCTGTAGATGCAGCAGTTCATACAACTGCTTATTTCTGCCTCCCAATTCTTAAGTATTTGGTGTAAATATAGTATTGCTGTGCTGCCAAATATCTGTCCTGTGATCTTGCCTGTCTACAATTTATTGTTGAGGGTGGGTAGAGCATGCAGGAGTTTAAAGATGGGGGTGGGGGAAATGAGGAGGCTTTGTTTTTTCACTCCTGCAATTGGCTGTTTTGTGAAATGGTTGTTTTCTCAGTACTCTTTCAGAACAGCAAGTATCTCAGAATTTCAGAAGGCATTAGACCAAGATAAGAACTGTTTTCTTTAAAGGCTGTTTGGAAAAAAAATAAATGTTGGGAGCTATAGGTTTCTCTACAGCTTAGATGGTCTCTCAAAGCTTATCATTTCTTTGATGAAATCTCTGGCTCTTGCTGGGACTGAATGCTGAGGTTCAGTCAAGGACCAGGATGCTCTTTGGGTAACTCCTCTGCTGATACACACTCCAAAGAGTTCACAGCCTGCAACACAGGGCGTACCAAAATGATAGATATTGGGCACTTCTCAAGGAAGAGAAGTGCTGGGAGTAAGAAGGAATTATTCATCTCTCTTCTTTATAGGTTCTTGGTTGATTCCAGTTCTAAAAGGTGATTCTGTCCTTTCTCCTCTGCTTGGCAACAATTCCTTTCATGCCTTCATTTGCTTTGTGTAACCATGTGTTTCCTAGAGAGTTTTTTGGTGTTTTTCTTTTTTTTTGGTATGTGTGACTAGTCCTCTCTCTCTGAAAGGAAAACTAGGTCGTGCAGTAAATTCCTGCCAGCAAAAAGAAGTATGCCCAAGAGACAATATTGAAATCTTCAGGAGAATTTTGTGTACTAAACGACATAATTGCCCTTCCTTGAGGAATTCACTCCCAGTAATGAAAATTGGTGTGCTTGTGTGCTTTAGTTCTTTTAAGAGATAAGGCCCTGCCAGTGCAGCTCTTACCTGAGCCATACTTGATACCTGCACTGGCTCTGAAACTATAAATCCACTGGCTTAAAGGTTCCACTTGAAATTGTTTCACAAAGTACTTGGCTGCTGTCTGTAAATTGTGTCATTATCACGACACCAAGGCTTCAATAGTCTAAAAATGTGTGGTATGAAAAGCACTGGAGCTGTTGCCATGAACTGTATGGGGACAGGCTGGGCATACAGTTATTCATTTGTTGAAAGATCTGCAGATTTCATGCTTTAATGGGTTTTTCAACATCCAAACTGTATGTAGACCCACTGGCATTCTTTTAATTGTTTGCTAAAATTACACGGAGTCACATTGTCCATAGGAGAACAACTTAGTTTGGCAGCAACTTTGGTGCATTCAAAATTATTCTTTATCTTATCAGAATGAGCACAAAATGTTGAAGGTTTTTTGTCCTATAAGAAATGGAGCTATGCCAAAATGTCTCATTTAAGATTTAAAAGCTTGAGATTTCTAACTGAATCTCTTTCTCACTGGCCAGAATTGATTGAGGGGTTCTATACCCAAAACTACTGCAAATTTTCTGACAAGCCTGGGTGACTTGGCTTGAATAAAACAATGTCCTGGCAGACGTCCTGGTGCTGAAAATGACCTGTGGAGGTATTTAGCTCTGGGGTATGGCTGTGGCTGTGTCACCACATCTGGATTTGAAAGAGGAGATTGAACTTTGCTGGCTGGCTGTGTGCAAGGCTTCAGATCCTCCTCACCTGCTCTCACACCTTGTGTCATCCCTGGGACCACCAAGGACAGCCTCAGAGTGGCTGAGCTGCTGTCTGCCAGCAGGGCTTGGCTCTCCTCTGCTTGCCAAGCACCTGAAACAGACTTGGGAGGTCTGCACTCAGTGCCAGGAGTGCTCTCACAGCCAGAAAGGTGAATCACATCGTGTGGTCAAGGCCATTCCCAGCTGCAGCCAAGTCCTTCTCCTCCTCCTCATCACTGAGAGCACAGCTGGAGTATTGTACCAGTTTTGGGTGCTTCATATCACCAGAGATACTGGGAAGCTGGAAATGGTCTGTCAGAGGGATAAAAAATGGTTCAGGGCACCTACAAAGAGCAGCTGAGGAGTCTGGGCTGCTCCTGCCAATAGGGCCAGATGATAAATAACAAGAACCTGTGGCCACACACTGCAGTTTGGGGGGGCTAGGGTGGACACCAGGAAATCAATACCTGTTCCCCAGGTGGGCTTTCTCCATCACAGGGGGTGTGGGACACGTGGCTGAGCAGCTGATCTGATCTGGAGCTGGTGGTTGTCGTGCTTTGAGTAGAAGGCTGGGCCAGGAGACCTCCAGAGGTCTCTGCCTTCAGTGTTTCAGTGAGTTGCTGGTCAGATTAAAGAAACCTTCTGGAACCAAACTTTCCTCCCAGCCAAGTTCCCTGCTCCAGGGACTGGCTCAATAGATTGGTTTTAACAGAAAAGATTTTCCATTAGAGAAATAGAAAAACCTAAATATTGCCTAAATAATCTCCCATGAAGGTAGGGACCAAACAATTCAGATTCTTTGAATTGTTTTAGGGGTTCTGCAAGTAGAAATTTTATTTTGTGTGTAATTTGGGATATCTCTGTTCAAACCTGATGGATTTGTAGCTGAGTGCATTACATATAAAACTATTCTGAATGCCTTATCCTGGTTTCTGCTCCAGTGGGAAACTGGGACTTTGCAGTGCCCAAGAGAAGGGCAATATTGTGCCTCCAAACACTGGTGGTTGCTGCAGTTCAGCACTCCTTGTAGATTCTTTGTGCTAAAAGTCTCTCTCGTTGCTTTAATGTGAAATATTTGAATTCACTTTTTGTGAGAAGAGTAGCAGAAAACATGCTGGGGAAAAAAAATGTCATTCAGTTCACATTGTTCTTGGGTGCTGGTTGTGGTAAGAAGAGATAAGGGATGCTGTTTCAAAAATGTCTTTTAATTAATGGTGTTTCTATTCTGAAATGGAGCTTGAAAAAGAAAATCTACTATTTCTACATCATTCTGTATGACTGTAATGAATTAGTTAAAACCTTTCAAGAGTGTTGGATCACAAAGGCAAAAGTACAGTTTCTTTGCAAAGACAATTTGTGCCAGCATGTTGGAGGGGAATTCAACTGAAGAGCAATTCCCTTCAGTAAAAATGGCATTGCAAAGTAATATTAAGGTTAGGCTCTAAATTAGCAGAAGGAGGAATAATTAGTAGTGCTGCCATTGTGTTCTGTACTTAGCTTGATTGTTCAGACAATGCAACTCATGGTATGTCATGTCTCTTACTTTTCATTAAAAGCTCAAAGAAAGGTGAATTTGCATTGCTTGTCAACAACAAAGAAGCTAAATAAGCCTTAGTAGACTTCAAATTGGAATTTTTTGTTGATTTTTGTCTCAGCCTTAAACTGCTTAATTAAACTATTAATTATCATTTTCTCTTTAAGGAGGGGCATTTTGATTCTGAGGTTTATATGATAAATGCTGCTCTCCTCATGAGGCTTTAGCAGAGATTGGTGTGACTCTGGAGTTGATTAATTCCTGGTGTAATTTCCCCTGGGGTCAGTGGGATTAACAGGGAAGGAATATGGCAGGTCAGTCCTTGATCAAAGCCACTGTATCTGACCCATCCCATTTAGCAGGAACTGTTGCCAATACAGGAATTTGGAAGAGGTTAAAGAGGTAATAAGTTTCAGAAGGTCTCAGCTGACTTTGGCATTTTCCCTGTAAAGCTTTTAGGGAATTGTTTCAACAGGTAGAAACAACACTTCCTTCAGGTTTGAAGGAAAGAGATTTTCGAGTGACTTGTGAGGTTAAGGATCTTCCAGGATGGAAAATGGGTCTCAGTCTTTGAATCCAGGCTATGTTTGAGCATGTCCTGGGGATTTGCAAGGGCTCACGATGGCAGAAAGCCCCAGGACTCCTGGAGGAGCTGTTGTGAGAGGGACTGGCAAAGCCAGAAAAAGGAAACTTCAGCACATTCATTAGAAATAATAGGGCTGCTTAGTCCCAGGATACTTCTTCTTTCTATTAGGATGAGGGACCCAGCTGGCTTGGAGGGGAAAAGAAAGAGTCTTGTGTTAGATCCAGTGTGGATCCTTAAATGTGAAAAGCAAGATCTGCAGAGCTTTGGAACAAAACAGGGCTGAAGTTTCACTGTCTTGTCACAAAGTCATTTATCTAAAGGTTGAGAAGGAGATAAAAGTGGGTCTTGGCTTCTGAGCTGTATGTTTAAACTGCGGTTTGAAATGTAAATCACAGGAACACAGAGATTGGTTTTACCAGTTCATGGAAAAATGGTGTGTAGGTTTTCCTACTAGGACTGCCTGAAAACTGTTTGCAAGAGGATTTGGTAGAAAAGTCAGTGCCTCGGGTTTCTGTCATTTTTGTTAAAAGCACCATGAAATAAACTGAATTGTGGTTTGGGGATGAATTATGTATACTCCCCTATACAAAGGGGGCATGAAAAGTACTTTGGAGCTTTCTGTCTGGGTCAAAGTCATTCAGCTTTAAAAAAAACACATGTGTTCTATATATCCATAAAAAGGACATGTGTTCTATTATCTCTAGGTGGGTTTGCTATAATATAGGATGGAAATGGAAATATTCTGCCTATATAATTGAGTGCATCCAGGAAGAAAGTAGTAATAAATTTACTTGCAGAACACCACAACAACTCAGGGATTGCTTTTTTCTTTTTTTCTTTTTTTTTTTTCTCCCTCTCACACTTCTCAGTATTCATGGTTAATTAGGCAACGTTTTAGTTGGAAATTTCTCCGTTGTTATTTTTAGGACTGTAATGAGTCATTTGTGCTGCGTTCGAGTGCAAGTTCTGGTAGGATTTGGTCTGGAGTAACCTCTGAGGGAATGGGCTCCGGCCGGGTATTTTCATAGAGCAGCTTAGGAGCAGCACAGAAATCAATGCTCAGCAGAAAAACGCGACATTTCTTATTATTTTTGGTTTGTTCTGCTGGCTCAAACGCCGTGGAAACAAACCGGAGAGGTGCTGCTGGCTT